CGCGTTGGCCGCGCGGTTATCGGGGCGGGCGAGTACGTTATCGAGTTTGGTGCTGGATCTGAGCCAGTCTGTGCCGCACGGCGTGAGTAGGTAGTCGCCGGCGGGGCCTTTTTGCTTTTTCGTCAAGTAGTTCTTTGTGCGGAGAGAGAATAGGTCGCCGGGAGGTGAGGCCCAGCCATTGGTTCCGGTGGTGAGGTCCACGTGGCGCAGTGATCCGCTGTGGATGGACTCGGAGATCCAATCGGCGGTGGAGGTTGTCGACTCGTCGGATCTGGAGCATTTTCCGACGTGATCGGCGACGGAGCTCCGATGTTTTTGCTTGGTTGTTGGACACATGGTTTTGTCTCTCTTTGTTTTTGCTTTCTCTGTGAGACTGTGACTCTCCTCTATCGAAGTGAGCACCTCATAATGGAGGCTACGGTGGTGTATAATAGTTTAGAAAACAGAAGTGCCCTTGCTTTTGGAGAAAATTGCGATACAGCCCTCGATTTTGGGACAGCTAATTTTACATAATTATTTCCAATTTAATTATTGATCGCATCTGTGACAGATAATTTACACGACTCTATATATATTTATATGCTTTTCTGGCTTTGTTTTTTCATCTTCTTCCTTTTTTGGGAAAATTTAAAACATTGGCCACCATTTCGCACACCTAAAAACAATTTATTTTCATTTTCCTTGCCTTAAATATATATATATTTTTTGAGAGAGACTTAAATATATTTCATGATAACATGTTCAAGTAAAATTTATAATTAAGCATGCTTTTTTTTTTTTTTTTGTTGATTAAAAATTAAGCATGCTTAAACACTCCTTTTGACTCCCTATTGAAATTAAGAAAACGAAAAAACACAGTCCCTTTGACATGAGAGAAAACTCTCATGTAATGGGTATAGCACTTTTTGCTATCCCGTTTAATAATGCAATGACACATAAGATAACTTTTACACGTGTCATTGTGTCATTGGCTGTAAATAACAAAACAGTGTTATCCCCATTATAGATAAAAAAAATTGCTTTGACACATGCCTTGAATTAAATAAATCACATGTAGCAAATCAGAGTCTTGGAGAATGAATATATTAATTGCTGACAATTAAATAAAATTGCATGTGCTAATAATAAAACCACATGCACTTGGATAAAAATAATTTGCCCATGTGACACTACTATTGCATTGCACGGTTGAAAACAAGAAAAAGCGGGAGATAGGTAGGTAATAAGTGACAAATTTAAGATTCATTGTACCTAATTTCCTTGGTTTGATTAAAAACGAATTCCAAAGTAAGTTTTGTGCATTCCCCGTTATGATTTGGGGGAGGGGTTTTAGATTCTCAAAACTCGAAAAGGAAGAACTTGATTTTGAAATGTACTTGAGTTTGAAGACATTATGTTGTCAATTTCATAGTATGGCTGCATTTTGATTATAGAAATATATTTAATCACCATGTTTGTCTTTTTACAAAAAAAAAAAAAAAAAAAAAAAAAAAAAAAAAAATACTTAATATTTTTTTTTTTAGTACAAGCAACTATGATGTCATGGAAGTTCGAATCTAAGACTTATGGTCTGCAAGTTAAGACCCTTTTCCACTATAGTAGATGACGTTAACAAGAAAATGCTTAAGTTGAGTAATGAATAAGAATTTATATGGAATGTCATTCTCCTCATAAAACACCACTATCGCCTTTACAATTTTCTAATAATTATCATGACTTTATCAATTGCCTTACCAACTTTTAAATTTATAATTATTGTTATTTGAATTAGATTGCCCTGAAAAACTAAATTCCAATCCAAGTAAAGTTATCAATCACTTATAATTTGGGTTATGTTATTTTACCAATTTGCGTGTTATATTTTAGGTCTATGTTCCATTATAATATTATATACAATTGTTGTAACATTAGTGAATTCGTAACACAATCTATCTTTTGCTTGCTGATGTGTTAAGCTCAAGTCATGATATGTTTGAGTTTTGATTTAGAGATTAATTCCAACTCTTTATCTTCCTATTTATTAGGACAAAAATTTCTCCATTTCCTGATGTTTAATTTCGACTTTTCTTACGAGTCAAGGGAGAATAAAATGAAAACCTTGACAGAGAGTTTGACTTATCGAATCTGACGATGGAGAAAGCAACACGAGTAAAATAACGATAACCGAAATACTCAATAATATCAAAATAGGTGGACACCCACATTCGATTAAGAGGCTCGGATTTGACACGTGGCTCATAGCTAATATCAATCAATGTTGGCCTTACAACTTATGACAGCAGAAATTACGCCACCACATAAATCCAAATAATAAGACACTAATTTTCTTCAAATTTTTACAGTGTTGTTAAACGAATTTTAAAATAAATTGAATAATAATATTATTTATATTTTACAACCTGATATTTTAAATTACCCTTGAAAAATGGAAAGACGATCAAATTCGAGCACACTGCATTTGCCACCTTAGCCCACGATTGCTTCTTTATTTTTATTTTTTCCTGTTGATAAGACATTGTTCTATAAATAATTAGTTTATTAGTTTAATTTACGTCGTCGTCGTCGTCGTTCTATGACTTGCAATATGTCGACTGCATTTTTGTATTCTTAGACTTAATTGTATGCCATGCCGACAACTACGTCAGAGCCAAAAAAATTAAATAAAAAAATGTCAAAGAGGACCCAATAATGGTTATGTCGACCATTTATGGGCGGAGACTTTTCTAGACAACTTCCGTTTGTTAACATCACAACTTCTATTTATTTATTTATATATCTAATAAAATGCTTTAGGGCAAAATAAGTTGATGCTCAGTACAATTTAATAATTCAGAATAATTTCAAGGGCAGGCTTTTCATGATGTTGGCTTTGTAAGATAACATTTAAACATCCAGGTTCAAAGGGTTTTTTTTTTTTTTTTTTGGGCGATAGGTTCAAAGGTTCATGTCATTTAAAGAAAAAATTTTGTATTATGCAAATGGTTTAAAATCAAAGCATTAAAAAAAAGGAAGGTGGGGTTATGTCGACTGCATTTTTGTATTCTTAGACTTAATTGTATGCCATGCCGACAACTACGTCAGAGCCAAAAAAATTAAATAAAAAAATGTCAAAGAGGACCCAATAATGGTTATGTCGACCATTTATGGGCGGAGACTTTTCTAGACAACTTCCGTTTGTTAACATCACAACTTCTATTTATTTATTTATATATCTAATAAAATGCTTTAGGGCAAAATAAGTTGATGCTCAGTACAATTTAATAATTCAGAATAATTTCAAGGGCAGGCTTTTCATGATGTTGGCTTTGTAAGATAACATTTAAACATCCAGGTTCAAAGGGTTTTTTTTTTTTTTTTTTGGGCGATAGGTTCAAAGGTTCATGTCATCTACAGAAAACATTTTGTATCATGCAAATGGTTTCAAATCACAGCAGTAGAAGAAATGAAGGTGGATTCAAAGCATAGATAACAGCTGCAAAATATCATGTCATTATGTAACAAAGCTCACTGATTCAAAACATAACCATAACAATTCATCAACAAATCTAATTGGTAATGGCAACTTCCGCAACTAAACACACAAAGTTCTGATTCATATTAAGAAGCTTTGATACACCTACTAATATGCCGGAAGATAGGGTGCCGGATACCATCCACTACGACACGGCAACCCCTTGGGCTTTAGGGTCACCTAGTTTCCAACTAAAAGAACCACACAGGTACCATCCATAATACAAAATCAATCATGTATAACATTAGAGTTCAACCAAAC